AATGCTGCCGTGCTCGCGAGCGAACACTCGCCTCAACTCAGCCGACACTCACCACATTGCTCTCTAGTCTTGCCGTCTTCGCCTGTCATCGTGTCTAGTGCGCTGCTCTACTACTCTACCTCTCTTTCTCCCTTCTCTTTTCCCCTTCCTCCCCTTCTCCCCTTTCCTCCCTCCTCCCTCCCCCCCCCCCTCCTCCTCCCCCCTCCCCCTCCCTCTCCCTCCTCTTCCCCCCTCCCTCTCTCTCTCCCTCCTCTTCCGCCCTCCCTCTCTCTCTCCCTCCTCTTCATCCCTCCCTCTCCCTCCTCTTCCCCCCTCCCTCTCCCTCTCTCCCTCTGTTTACTTCTTCTGCGCGCTTCTCGTTCTTGAAAGGCATAGAAGTCAGCCTGTCTCTCCTGGCGCTTCCGCTTTTTGTTTGCCGCCGCAGTGGAGGCCCCCAAAGCAGCAGCCGCAGCGGGGCCCAGGTGGGGGCCCCCTACAGCGCCTGCCGATGCCCCCGCCGCCTGCGCTCTGAAGACGCTGGAGGTCCCCCCTGCCAAAAGGCTCGAAGACTCGGCAGCGCGAAAGCCTTTGATGTTCTCTCCACTCCCCAAACTGTTTTTAGGGCTGCAGCCACACGCACGAGAACACACAGCACACAAAGTCACCCGGCAGTCATTCCCCGAAAGCTTCATGACATGCAGCTGCTCGCTAAGCCTCGCCTCGCAGTCTCTCAGCAAAGGAAGACACCCGTGTCCTCTTGCTGCAAAAAAAGACTGCAGAGCGCCTTCCCTCCCCGCAGAGCCTCCCCTCCTGCCCCCCCTTCCCGTGTCGAAGCCTTAAGGCCCATGACTTGACAAGCTAAGAGAGAGAAAGCTACCCCTGCACGAGAATAAAGCCGTCTTCATCCACAACCGCCACCTTCCGCTGCTGCTTCTTCAAGTCCTTTTCCAGGTCGTAATTGCGCATGAAGGCGTCAACCTCCCTACGCACGCCACGCCACGGCATACACACACACACATACATACAAACATACACACATACATTCAAACATACACCTATACATACATACACACATACATACATTTAAACATACACCTATACATACATACACACATACATACATTCAAACATACACCTATACATACATACACACATACATACATGCACATATACACGTATACATACATACACACATACACACATATACAAGCATATTACTCTCAGTCAAAAACAGCATGCATCCTGCGAGAGGGTGCCAATACAGACGAGAAGAAACTGCAGTCGCAGGCCGTAGCCGTAGCCTCCGAGTGACACGCGCAGACAAGGAGAACTCGAAATGAAGAGAACTTTGAGCTTAGAGTCACCCACGCTTTGAGCTTCCGCGGGGGCTTGAACAGAGCCGCCGCCTCGATAGCCCACTGCAGGGGCCCTTCCTTCGCAGGGGCCCCACAGCATCCCGCGCGCAGCTGCCCTGCAACATCGTTGAGCCCCCAGCCGCAGGGGGGGGCCCCTTGGGGCCCCTCAGTGGGGGTTGAACAAGGCCGCCGATCCAGAGGCACCGCAGCCGCCAAAGCCCTGTCCACAGCTGCTGCCTCTTCGAACACGATGTGCAACAAACGGACGCACGACACCTATACAGACGCAAGCCGCAAAAAGAAAAACACACACATACATGCACACATGTATATATACAGACATACACGTATATATACAGACATACACATATATATAGACAGACATACAAACGTATATATATACACAGACATACACACGTATATATATACACAGACATGCACACGTATATATATACACAGACATACACACATACATACAGACATACATACACGCATACACATACATACGCTGGCGCTGAAAAGGCCCCTGCACCCTAAGGAGCAGGCCCTGCTAAAAGCAGAGAAAGCTCCCCCCTTCCCCCCGTTCCCTTCTCCGGCCGCCAGCGACAACGCGGCAGACGTGAAAATGGATATAGATATTTAAATGTGTATGAATATCTATAGAGATATATATTTCTCTCGAGGGCGTGCGAGTTTTAGCGAAGGGTACCGCTTTGCCAGAGGACTTGGAGGTTGCCGTTAGTTTCTCGTAGACGGCCTCAACTGGACCAAATGCTGCAAACTGCTGCTTCAACTGCTGCTGCTCCCGCTGCTGGAGGGGGGCGTTGCACACGAAGAGCGCACGGCCCTCCTCTGCTGCCGCAGCTGCAGCCTCTGCTGCCTCTGCAGGATCTCCCGCTGCAGCCATCGCTGCCGCCATTGCTGCTCCGCGAATGGGTGCTACCTCAGCAGGCCTTATGAGCACCTGCGCGCAGCCACCAACAGCATTTGCAGAGCACTGGAAATCGCTGGGTTTGGACTGGCCAGGGCTTTCAGGAAACACATGCACGCGCCTTGCCTCTACCTGCATGCGCACACTGCATGCATGCATGGGGCCTTGATACGTGTACCGCGCTGCTCATGGTTCCTGCCTGGTAAGGTAGCCTTCGCAGGACGTACACACCTCGTAGCCAAAGGGAGAGCCGGGCAGCGCACCCACACGCAAGGCCCTGAAGCTGCAAAGCTTCATGGTTGGTTGGAAACTCGGATGCTCGGCAGAAAATGCCTCAAAGCCTCATGCGAAGAAATCCGGCGGGAGCTGTGCTGCGTCGCAGCTCTTGCTGCCGCCCTTGCCGCTTCTGCTGCGCTGGAGGCTGCGCGTGAAGCACAGCGCATCTAAAAAAGAGGAAGGGTCGAATTTGCAGCAGAGCCTCCCTCCCTCCACGCTTGCCGCGCCGTCCTTCGGAAGGCTCTCGATGCGTGGCAGATGCGCTGCAGCCGATGCAGCCTCTCCAAGTCCGAAGAAGAACCTTCCTTCTGCATCAAAATACACCTGAAAAAAGGCGCAAACCTCGAATTGCAGGCTTTGGAGTGGTTTATGCCTTCTTTAGGGGGCACGCCTCCGCTTACGCCTGTGGGCCCCAGTAGCGGGAGAGGGGGGCCCCCTCTGGGTTTCTGCGGGCAGGGGGGAGGGGGGCAGGGGGCCCCCCTAAAGGAGCTTCTTGGTGCCTTTATACGCATCTTGAGGGGTTGAAGGCGCTGGCTGCAGTGGCTTCCCCAAACTCCAGCTGAAGGCGCAGTGGACAGCAGCAAGCGCTTCCCTGCGCGAGGCACTTGTGGCTCTGCATCGCTTCTCTCGAGAGCAGCAGCAGCAGCCAAGCATCGAGGGAATGACCATCACAAGGCAGGCAGCAGCAGCAACGAGATGCAGTGGCACAAGCAGCACCAGCACCAGCAGCAGCAACGAGAAGCACCGGCAACAACAACAGCAACGCGAAGCAGTAGCACCAGCAACACCAGCAACACCAGCAACACCAGTAGCAACAATAGCAACAGCAACGAGGAGCATCCCCCACAGCTACCTTTAAGGAGCCTCTACCCGCGCAACACCTCCCCATGTGGAAGTCTTTTCCCCGTGGTGTTCAGCCGCTGTGGAGACGGCACCACTTGACACCTGCTACGCTGACTGAACATCTCTGCTGGAAGGCTAGTACGGCCCCCCCCCCTTCCCCTCTGCCTCCCGCCACTGCTCCTGCTGCTACGCGGGAAGCCTCCACGCAGACACAGCCGCAGCTACCACTGCAGGGATGCCTGCCTGAGATCCTCAGACAGCAGCCGTCGGGGATGGCCATCTCCGCGGCAAGGGGGGAGGATCTCCCAGCTGCAGCTCGCAGAACGTGGGGAGCCTCACGCTGCATGCACACCTCTCCAGACGGGGTAGTTGAGGCTCCAAGAACAAGCCCTGCAGCCTGCAGCGGCGGGGAGGCTTTGTTGCAAAGCCTTTCTTCCCTAGAGTTGCGAGAAATGTCTCGAGCCTTACGACAGACGGCAATCGCGTTCGCTGCCTCCTCTGCGCGCGTCGAACGACACTCTAAGGAATTCCTGTGTTTGTGTAGCCTTGCTGCTGCTGCCGCTGCCTCCTCCAAGCGTGACACAGCGCCCCCTCGTTCAGAATCAGCAGCCATCAAGACACCTGCAGATCCCCTTGAAGCAGCAGCGGCACCTTGTAGGAGCAGCTCCTCTGCCACTGCTGCAGCGGCCTGCCTCTTCTCGCATCTCCGGAAACACCTGCAGCAACAGCAGCAGCTGCAGCAGCAGCAGCTGCAGCAGCAGCAGGTGCTGCAGCTGCACGAAGGGGGCCCCCGGGCTGCTGCTCTTGCATGCAACGCCTTAGCGAGGATTGCGCAGCGTGCCGCTCCGCGAGACGCAGCTGCTGCTTCCCACGCCACCACCATGCGGCTGACCATGACCGAGTGCGTTCTTGCCCTCTCGAGAAGCAGAGGGGCCCCTTGGGGGGGGGCCCCTCTCAGCCAGATGAACGAGCAGGACCTATCCCTTCTGGCGAACGCTGCCGCTGTAGCAGCAGACTGCTCAGACGCCGCTGCCGCTGCCGCAGCAGCCCACCTTCTTCGGCCGCTGCTCGCAGACATCGTCAGCGTCTGCTGCAGCTGCAGCCCTGTCAGTCGCGCAGAGGAAATCGGCGAGAAGGAGGCGCTCGAACGCCAGCAGCAGCAGCCCCCCCCCATGCTGCAGTCCATGACGCCTCAGGGCCTGAGTCTGCTGCTCGCTGCGCTGCAGCGGCTGCAGCTGCCTCTCCAGTCGCTCCACGCCAGATGGCTTGCTGAGAGAGCTGTTCAGATGCTTCGTGCTACGCAGACGCAGGGCACTGTTGCTGTGCCTGCACCTCCCAAGGTGGCTGGTGCGAAGGCGGGCTCTCGAGAAAGCGCTGACGCCTCACGCGGCGACGTCGGAGACAGATGCACAGCCCAGCAGACCACGCTGCTGCTGCATGCGCTTCACCAGCATCCCTCATTTCCTCAGCCTCTTGTAGCTGCAGCAACTGCCGCAGCAGCGGCGCTCCTGCGGCAACACGCAGCGGCATTCAGTGTTCAAGGGCTCCTTTTGTGTCTTCGCGCGCTTTCTCGCGGAAGGCGCATTGATTCCGACACCTTCGAGGTAGCTCCTCTTGCTGCTGATCTTGCTCCTCTCCTCTTGCTGCTGATCTTGCTCCTCTCCTCTTGCTGCTGATCTTGCTCCTCTCCTCTTGCTGCTGATCTTGCTCCTCTCCTCTTGCTGCTGATCTTGCTCCTCTCCTCTCGCTGCTGATCTTGCTCCTCTTCCTTTTGTAGCACCTCTCGCCTTGCTGCTGTTGCTCCTGCAAACGTTTTCCTCGCGCTGTTAGTCTTTTCTGACGCCCTGCTTTAGCCGCCGTTTTCAAGCGCCGCTTTGCTGCAGCCTCTGGCCTTCGTTGCGGAGGCTGCGGAGAGCACCCTTTTGCTGCCCCCGCCTTGTTGTCGAGCTGCTTCTGCCGTATTTTGACAGTGCAGCGGCAGCGTGCGCGTTGCGTCTGGCTCAGGCTATCCTACAGAGCCTTCTCAGCAGAAGGCGGGAATGGACGGCTGCGCTGCAGAGAGAGCAGCACTTTGCTGTGCTCATGCATGCACTTGCTGCAACGGCTACGGCCGCCGCCTACAACAGCAACAGCAGCAGCGTGAACAGTGCGCAAATAGAGACTTTGCGGGAAGAACTTCTTCAGCTCCTGCTGCAAGAGCTCCCTCGTTTTGTGGAGGTGTGTACAGCTCAGGGCCTGGCAAGTGTCTTCGTGTCACTCATCAAAATGAACAAGGCAAACCGAGTCATCGTCGGCAGCAGCAGCCTTAGGAGCAGCAGCCTTAGGAGCAGTCAGACGGCGGATGTGCAGCTGTTGTGTCCAGACGCCTTGTTAGTGGGTGCATGCAGCAGGCTCTGGCGGCAGCGGGGGCCCACAAACTTAGCAGTGCAGGTGCATTTGCTGATTCTGCTGCTGCTGCTGCTGTTGCTGCTGCTGCTGTTGCTGCTGCTGCTGCTGCTGCGCTCGCTGTGGTTGTAAGAGCGGCGGCCTCTATTGTTGTGCAAAGAAACCAGCGGCAAGCCCCGGAGCGCTGCCGGGTGTACAGACACCGTGTGACAGCTTGCCTGCCGCCGTGTTGCACCGCTCTCTCTCTCTCTATCTATCAATCTCTATCTATCAGTCTCTCTATCGATCTCTATCTCTCTTTTTTCGTGCGTGTTACCGCTTCTGCTGCCTTCGCAGGCTCTGCCTCGCCACGTGGTGCAGTGCTGCTTTTCCGCTGCTGTGGGGGCTTCAGCTCCTGCGTCGTGGCATGGCGCTCTCCTGCTGCATGCAGTACAGCAGCTCCCCTGCCCGGCGTCTGAGTCTCGCGAGCAGCCGCGGAGGCCGCTTGGCGGTCAGAACTGCGTGTGGACGCTGCTACAGCCGCTGCTTCGGCAGCAACACTGGAGCTCCCCGTTCGGCGTAGCTGCGTATTCCCCCGAGTCGGAAGCCTTGAAAGAGCTCACGCTGCGGCAGCTGTCGCAGCAGCAGCTGCCCGCTGCCGCCTTGCTGCAGGTATACGCAGTGCTCCTCCACGTGGCACTTGAGCTGCCCGGCGGCCTCCCAGCTTTGCCTTTAGGGCTTCTGCGAGCCGCCGTTGTGCTGCTGCAGCTCGCAGATGCGGCGCTGCACAAACTGCTTTGGGGGCAGCAGGTGCAGCACCAGATGCAGCAGCAAGCGCAGGCTCTGGACGCGGCTGCCGAGGACGCGTTGGTGCAGGAGACACTGCAAGAGCTCCCTCAAGGCGAGGGTGTCTCGAGCTCGCTTCTGCACAGCGCAGTTCTCCGCTGTCTTGAACAGCTGCAGAAGCAGCAGGACTGGGCAGTCGCCTCAGAGACGCCAGCAGGGCCCTACGTGCTGGATATCCTGCTGTTTCACGTGTCGAGCATTCCAGGAGGAGCCTTTGCCCCTGCAGCAGCAGCAGCGGAGCCGACTAGAGTGGCCAAAACACCCTACAGTGCATGTGAAAAGGACGCGCACCAAACGCACAACGCGCTTCACACCAATCGGAAGCCCCTGGCTGCACGTGCGTAGCTGTATGTGTGTAGTAGCTGCACGGGTGCAGGGGTAGCTGCACGTTTGTAGCTGTACGTCTGTGCGTCGGGCTGCAAAGTGCGAAGGAGGCGCCGTCCGCGGGGAGACACACTGTTTCTTCCGGAGGGTGCGTGTATGTATGTATATGCATATATGTGCATGTCTGTATGTATGTATATACGTGTATGTGTATGTCTGTGTGTGTGCATATACGTACATGTGCATGTTAACGCTCGTAACTTCGGGGAGAGCCCTTTTCATTCAGCTTTGCTGCTGCCTCGGACAGGTGTTTGTGTCTCTAGAGTTTAGATTTCAGTTTAAGACGTCGCGCGGCTGGCTACCGGGGTGGCTTCCCCTGTGGGTCACTTGAGCATGTGTGGCGGATGCGACGCGAGCAGTGCGCCCCACTGGCCACGCAGCTTGTCAGGGAGCTATTTGTATCCAGTTTACTGAGTAGGTGGGGAGGGATGCGCGTTTCGCCGCTGGAAAGCCACACGCTGGACTCCCCCCTAGGGGCACGGCAACGCACCCAGGGGGCTGGAGCCTGAGCCCGTCTTCTGCCTGACGCCTTCCGCAGGCCGACCAGCTCGTTACGCGAGGAGCAATCAATCAAAACGAATGAGGCGATGAGGTGCCCCACGCAGAGCCTTGGAAGACGCAGCGGTCCAGATCCGGTGCGGCGTCGGCTTGCCGGTGGGCTTAGCCGCTTCAGGCCCCCGAGGCTCCCGTACCCCTCTAGAAACTACGAGTTGCCGCGGCCTTTTTCGCGAATAATCCAATTATAACCGCGAGTAATAGCCTTAGAACCGACAAGCGGCAGTGGCAGTGACAGCCCCTGCAGTTTTCAGCCGCAGGGGCAGCGGGGTCTCCGCTGCGGCAGCCGCTGCTGCCCCTGCGAAGACGGCGTGGATCGACCGGGATGGTCGTGCCTTGCCAGTAGTATGCTGGAAAGAGTGTCTTCCGGTGTATATGGCACTCTAAATGCTCTGCTGCGAAGCCGAAGCCGCCACTCCACCGAGCCTAGTCAGTCCAAGCCCTCGTGTCGTGCGCTGCTGGACCCTCCTCAGGGGCCTTCATTCCACAACGCCAGGCGGGAAGGCACCCCCCTAAACTTGCAGAAACTCCTCTCTGAGGGCTCCTAGGCCTTGTTTGTCTGGGCAAGTGCGGCTGAAAGCGCCTCAACAGGCCCCTGTCGGCGAGCGAAGGGGCGGCAGCAGCACACGGCCACCCCCGATTCTCGGCTGGCATCGCAGCAGGTGCCTGAGCGGCAGCCGCAAGCGCCTCCTTCCCCCTACCCCGCGCCCCTCTGCAGCGATTGCTGCTTCTGAGGGGCAGCAAGGCCAAGAACGCCTTCGTGACGAAGCCGCGCGCCGGCAAGATTGCTGCTGCGGTGTGCCGAAGCAGCCTTCTTGGCGCGCAGAGCGGGCCCTCCTGCCATCCAGTCGTCTCACTGCAGCCTGCTCTCTGCCGTCTTCTGCAGCCCTTGCGCAGGTGGACGCTTTTTAAACGGCAGCAGCATTTTGCAGCGCAGCGTAGTGCAGCGCAGCCGCAGGAAGGGCTCCAGAACCGTGTGGGCTTGTAGCCGCAGCGACAGGAAGCTGCGGTTGTTGCAGCAGCAGCAGCAGCGGTTGCCCCCCTATGTTTTCTGCCGCCGTTGCATGCATACGGGCCTGGGGCAAGGCCCCTTAACCCCACACTTTTAAACAGAGAGGGAAGCAGGAGCAGCGGCAGCAGCAGCGGCAGCAGCAGCGGCAGCGGCAGCGGCAGCGTGCTCCTCCTCCCATCCTTAGGCAATGCCTCCTGCGGCTGACGCCACCAGTCCAGAGGGCAGGCCTCGTGTTTCTGCTAGGCTTCAGAGCAGCTGCGATGACAGCAGCAGCAGCACTCGGAGTGTGACCAAGAGCAGCAGAGCAAGTGCAGCTTCTGCGCCAAGGGTCGTCGCGCGCAGCCAGGAGCGCAGCGAGGCGTTGGCGGGGGGAGCTGCTCCCGACGAGCGACGGCAGTCCAAGAGTGCTTTCCAGCAGCCAAAACAGCCCCCCGATCCTGAGGTGCCTTGCTCCTCCTCGTCGTGCACAGCATCTGCGAATCCAGCAGCTGCTAGCAAGGCTGCGAAGGAGAGTAGCGGCAGCGCCTTCGGCAGCAATGCGTGCTGCCTTTGTCTTCGCTTCTACCTTGTGCGCTTCTTCGAACTGTGGGGGGGAGATGACTTTGCACGCCGCTCGCGCTCCACAGACGACGGCGATCCCTTCTATTCGCGGGGTAGCGTGTGTTTGATGCTCGACGAGGGGATGGCCGCTTCAGGGGGAGCTCCCGCCAGAAGCAGCACCAGCGACAGCAGCAGGTCGGCAGCTGCCGGCGCTGCCACTGCGGACGCTAAAGCCGCGTTCGCCAAGGATGCCGAACTCAGGAGGCAGCAGCAGCAGCAGGGGGGGGGCTCTACCCCGCTCAAAAAACGCCCTGCTGCGAGAAACCCCCTTCGATTTCCAACCAAGACTGACGAACTCGCGTACAAGCAGTACCTCAACTCCTTATACCCCTTCCGCCTCCTCGTTGTGGGCCTTCTCATGCTCTTTGTCGATCTAATGCAAGTTGCCTGGATCTTCGTCTCTGAAGGTAATTGTGTCTTTAAACCCTTGGCAGCCCTCTCTCGTAGCCGAAGTTCGGCATGCGCGTACTAACTGCAGGCTAATTGTAGGCTAACTGCGTGCTAATTGTAGACTAATTGCAGGCTAACTGCGTGCTAATTGTAGGCTAACTGCGTGCTAATTGTAGGCTAATTGTAGGCTAATTGTAGACTAATTGTAGACTAACTGCGTGCTAATTGCATGCTAATTGTAGACTAACTGCGTGCTAATTGTAGACTAATTGTAGGCTAACTGCGTGCTAATTGTAGACTAATTGCATGCTAATTGTAGGCTAACTGCGTGCTAATTGTAGACTAACTGCGTGCTAATTGTAGACTAATTGTAGACTAACCACATGCTAGGCGGAAGCCTATCTAAGGCGCCTGCAAGCCGCTAGATCGATCGACGGGTAGCGGTGTGCATCGCGGCACAGGCCCGACGCAGCGGGGTGCGATGCACATGCGTTTGCATGCGTTTTCGCGAGTCAGTTGGTACTGCCGTCGAGCTTTCAGCGCGAGTCGTGCAAACTCTCCAGCTGCCTTGACCTTCGAGCTTTCGGTTGGCGTGCGCTGCCTCCAAAAAAAAGCTTTTTTTCACAAAATGCTGTCTTAAAGATCATGCGGTGCTCTCCTCAGGATCTTCCGTCGATCGGTTGCAGTGGCCTAGCCTCAGGATGAGCGACTTGGTATTTTTGTGCATCATTTTGTGCTTTTCCATCCTCGTGCTGCTCTACGGCTTCCTCGCAATCGCGTCAAAGCTGCCTTTTGTGAAGAACAAGCTGGAGGCGTTTGCCGTGTCCATCCTATCGATCGTACGTCGCGCCTGTTCGGGAGGCACTATTTAGCGCAGCTTCCAAACCGCAAAGCAGCAGGGAGCAAATGCACTTGGCCTGCGGGTAGCAGGAACGACGCAGAAGGAACACGAGATGGCAGTCGCGAGCCGAGGGGGAGTGAGGGGCGGCACGCGCCTGCTGCGCTCACGGGGTAGGATGCTGTGGAGTTGTTTCCAAGGGCACAACGCTCGGGGTTGGGGGCGGCTGCTGCGGTTTGTAGGCTTTTCTGAGCCGCGTCATCTGTCTGTGCGCCGTGGTGCTGATAACGTCCATGGAGCATAGCATGCACTGCAGCAACTGCAAAGCCGTGCAGACGCACAACGAGATTGAGGCCTCAATTGACAAGCTTCCTGGCGAATACGTCGCTGTCGAGATGCTCGGTGAGCGCGGGGAGGGTTTGGGTGCAAGGCTCGCGCGCAGCGACAGTCAGGTTGCTCTCCGCAGCCAGCACACACACGGCTCCGACGAGATGCGTCGAGCTTCGGGGAAGGAGGGGCAGTCTGTGCAGCGGTCAGGATGTGCGCTTCAGACGTAGACTCGGCAGTCATGGCGGCAACGGGCACAGACGCCTGCACGGCGGAGCTGATTCTGCTGTCCTTTGTGACACTCTTCCACACGCTTATCATCGACCTCATGCTGCCGGTTAGGTACGCCTTCCTGCCTTCCTGCAGCAGCGCTCCAAAAGTCGTCCCCACCCCCTTCGTCTTTCTTTCCGACGCAGGTCTACACAAGGCTGCGTGGCTTGGGGTGTATTAGCTGCACGGCAGCACGCCTGTGAAGATGTTCATTGTGCTCATAAGTTCGGCTGCTGCGCGTGCGCATGCAGAACAATGGTCTCCCTGCCCATCCATCTGCTCTACCTCGCCAGTTGCGTCGGAGCGCTGACATTCTGCGCACTCGCATACTCACATGGCCTCAACTACCTGGGGTATGTGCAACTGCAGCCACCCTAGAGCTCCTTTCAAGCTGTCTTAGACGCGCCTTCTTGCGACGCCAACCCCACACCGCTGTTCACAAGTGCACGCTCAAAGGCTCTGGGGTGTGGGCAGCTGCGGAGGCGGACTGTCTGCCCGCCTTCGTCCTCCACGTCTTATAAAGGGGCAACTAGTCCCTTGCCATGAGGCGAATACGGGGGATCGAGGAGGCCTTGTGAAGTAGTTGAGCCAGCACGTATATTTTCGCTTTCTTCGTTCAAAAACCCCTTGGACTCCCTGCATGCAGCACCCTGCGTAGTTCCCCGTGCGCGCACGCCTGTCGCTGTGCTTCGCGCTGCGTATCCACTCGCGATATGCGCAATCTCCACGGCATGGGCCTGCCAGCGGCGCGTGCACCTCGTCGTGCCGATATAGGTTGCGTCGCTACACGAATTTTATGTCTTGACAACCCCAGCGGCCTGCTTACCCCCCCATCTGGCCGTCGAGCACTTGCTTGCGGGTGTGTGTGTGTGTGTGTGTGTATCTGTGCAGGCCTGTCTGCGTAATCTCGTCTTGCGTTTTTTTGTGCTGCGGGCTACTGGGCCGAGTGCAGACGGAGATCTCCCATAGGCAGCTCTACTTCCGCTGGCGCGTACGGCCTCTCAGTATTTCCTCTGCAGCTGAATTCGCTTCCTTCAGTTGCTGTGCATGCTCCTATCGGCTGCACAAGTCCACCGGTGGCGCTTCCATGTCACGGGTCTGCGCCTCCCGAGCATCCTCGCGTCTCTTCTTGCGTGTGCATGCGTGTGTTTGCGTGTACTGGCACTTAACACCCGTGTAGCCGTGCTCATGCATGCGTTTGCTCCAACTTTGCTACGTCGCTGCTGTCTGGTGTTTGCACTGCGCACGATACGATCTTCCGGTTGGTGGGACTTGCGGGCGGCAGCACCTTTCTCGGAAGGCGCGTATGCCAGCGGTTGCCTCTCTTTTGCCCCTCTTGCGCGTTTGCCGCAGCGTTCAATGTGCTTGCTGCGCGACACAGAACGTCAGCTGCGCTCGCAGCATTCAGCTCGCACTGGTATTGAAAAGTTGGCTCTGTTTGTGCGGCGCTCGGAGGCCCTGCTTCGCCGCGCTGCGGCGTCTGCCCCTCCGGACTCTGCTGCGGTTCAGGTAGCGATCGAAGAAGTCGCAGACATGCAGGCTAAGTAAGCGTCGAACGAGCTTCAGAGGCGTCCCCCAGAGAGCGGCAAGCGCGCAAGCTCACGCGTGCGCGTGGAGGCGGATGTGGAGCGGGCTGTGCGCCCTCCTGCAGCAAGCAGTTTCGTGTTCTAGGGTCCCTTTTTTGCCCGCTGAAGATGCACAGACAGAACCATTAGTTGCTTAGGATCCATGCAGTCGTGCGTGGTTGTTTGTGCGATGCCCTTCTCTGACGACAGAGTCTTAGAGATCGTGACAGATGTACACAATGTGTACCGTGCGGAGATGTCCACTGAGGAGCTGCGCGAGTTCATCCGCTTCGTTCCCGAAGTCGAAGACTCAAACATTCTCCTACCCATTGAGTGGCGGCACCGCAGCCCCTCATTAGCCACTGGCCCTTCAGCGGCTTCCACGACGATTCGACAAGTCGCCGCTGCTGCTGCCGCTGCCGCTGCCCATGCACCCCCTGTTGCTCCTGGGGTTGCCTCGTCTTCCGCGGGAGTTCCGGCGCTCGCGATCGCACCAACTGCAGTGGCTGCAACGCTTTTCCCCAGCACGACTGCACGAGGCCAAGCCTCAGTAGCTTCTGCTGTTGCTACTCCGATGTCGCTCACTCCTACCGGCGCTGGTGGCTCTCACCTAGATGATCCAGAGGGGCTTATCGACAAGCTGCCTCCCTCTGCGGCTGAAGAGCTGAGGACGAAGTTGGGTACTACGTGGGACCTTGATATGCTCATGGTGCGGCTGTGTGCTCCTGGTGCACGCGCTGCTCCTTTGGCAGCATCTGAGGGCAATGCGACTGGAGCTTATTGTGTCGTCGCCGGCAATTTCGCGTTATTGGCGCTGGCTGTCGCCCTCCTTAGCTTTCAGAAGCTGCCTCTTTCTCTGCAGCTTACTTTGCCTCCTCCGGCTGCCGCTGTGCTGCAGATCGAAGAGCAATCAAAAAGCAACGCGCTCGTGATTGTGGGCAACTTGATGCTGCTGCCGCTGTTGCAGCGGGAAGGTTTGCAGTGCACGCGCAGCCAAGTCCGGTGCTTCGTGCAAAGGGTGCAGCAGCAATACTGCAGCAGGAACCTGTATCACAACGCAACCCATGCGGCCATGGTGGCGCACTGCTGCAGGTGTATCGTTGGGGACGTGATTCCCAACAAGAAGGAGTAGGTAGAGCATGCGCACTCAGCGCCCCCGCCGAAGAATTTGGCCGTTACACGCAAATAAGTCATAGGCTTCTGCTTCGGCTGTCGAGCGCCGTATTTGGCGTTTTCTTCTTGGTCCTGTTCAACGAGGGTGGGTGCGCAGCTACATTCAGGCGCGTTGGCAGGAGCGGCAGGAGGTGCCATGTCAGTTGCTGTGTTGTGTGCGGTGTTCTTTGGACAGCTTGACGTATGCTGACGAGATTTGCATTGTAGTTGGCTGCATTGCACACGACTTGGGCCATCCGGGGCTGACGAATCAGTATCTCATTAACGTTCGGTCCCCCTTGGCCATTACATATAACGATATTTCGGTGTTGGAGAACTACCACGCAGCATGCTGCTTTAGGACCGCCGCGGAACACGATGGAAATATCTTTTTCGGCCTGAAAAAAGAAGTTTTCCAGTACATTCGCCAACACACGATCGAACTCATCCTTGCCACCGATATGAAGAAGCACTTTGACTTCATCTCCCACCTCAGAGTACGAAGTACCGTCCTTTTACTGCGAAATGCGTCCATGCGTTGCGTTTCGCTTGGGAGGGAGCGAGGCTCCACGCTGGAGAAGGCGATCGATTTGAACTCGCGTCCTCAGGACGTACCGCGATGCGGATATGTCAGGCGTACAGCTTTGTGCTTAGGGATGCGTGCGTAAATATGAGGATCTTTGAAGTTCAGCACAGCAAATAACTTCATGGAGTGGCGTGGCATTTGGTTTCTTAGGTTCGCCGGCACACTCCGAACTTCGATATCATAGAAAGCAACGATGACAGGTGGATGGTTTTCAAGGCGTGCATCAAGGCTGCAGACTTGGCGCACGCAGCGACTAACTGGGAACAGCACAAGCAGTGGTCGGAAAGACTCGCTGAAGAATTTTACTTGCAGGTATGCCAACAGTGAGGGGCTCGTGCTCCGTGGTAGAGGAGATAAACGGTTTGAGATTGTTCTGCATTCAACGTCCCAAGTGTCTATGTGACTCTAATGCCTCAGGGGGATGAAGAAAAGAGACTGGGGCTGCCAGTTTCAAATCTCTGCGACAGACTCAGGAAGCACGAATTTAGTCGATCCCAGGTAAAGCAGCACCTCGGAGTCCGTACGTGTGTGCATGCGTACAGACGTGTGTGTCTGGTGTGTAAGCTTCACGTCTGCACAGTTGCGGATGCTACCTGCGGATGCCGCTGCAGCTGCAAGAGGCAACAAATGTGTCATTTCTCAATGCTCGCTCTTTTGAAGGACCTAATTCCATGCCTTTTTCCGCACCCTCTCCTCCTTTGGCCCCTCTCCTCCCATTGCCTTCCCCTTTCACGTTTGTTACTGTCTCTCTCACAATCTTTTTGTGCTTCTTGTAAATCAACTCCTGGAACGGAGTGTTTATTCGCACTTGCTGAGCTAGTTTGACAGTCTTGCTACGCCTCTTTACCCGTAGGCCGGTTTCCTCAAGGTGCTCGTGGAACCGCTATTTACTGAAGTGGCAGCCGTCGTGTACAACTCGGAGGCGAAAGCGCGGGTGCAGAATGTTATTTGCAGACACATTAAGCACAACAGAGAAAAATGGGACTTGATTGATCAAGCACGCGAAGCTGCCGATTCACAAAGTCCAAACCCCTAGATCGTTGCCGCCCAACGGTACTGCCTCCAGTTGTGGTCGATGGCAGCCTGCATACGGACCACCCACTTATCTGCCCATCATCCTCTCCTCGTGCAGACGGACGTGGTCACTTGTACTTAAGGGCTAGCCAACTAGCTAACTATTTATCGCTAGCTAGTTGAGAATGTTCTAGCTGGATGCTAACTGTTTTATAGGGGCATTGTATCTCATGCAATGGTTTGCATCTGAAACTGCAGAGATATGTATGTCGTTGCTCCCCGTCTACTGTACAGCGTTGCTGCAGCTGCAGGATCAGCATCAGCAGCGCTTGCTGCGGCAGTCAATGTGTAGGGTCATGCTGTTGAGCGAAAATGGAGGGGCATTTACTAATCGAATTTGAGAGTGTACTTTAACCCTAAGAGGGCAAAAACCGAGAAATTCTGAAACACCAGTAGGTAGACAAAAGACAACAACTAGCAAAGAGTAAATCAATCGCAGAGAAAGGCCAGTTGACGGGTACGCCTCAAGGCTGCTAGCCCCCCCGAAACGTTGCACAAAAGGTGTTCACATTGCATTTGTTCAGGGCACATATACACACAGTGACCGCATGAGCTACAAGGCACAAGGCGTCGAGGGAGACATAACAGACGCCATTGAAAGGCAAATGCAAGCCAGAATGAGGCCGGCAAACAGTTACACGTTTAGAACTACGCCTTGCTTGATGAGTGTTACATTTTTGAGTGAGGATCCTTCAAGCCCGTGACGTATATTACTCTGCCTCTCGGTACCATTGTGCTTCTTCATACCCGCATTTTCCAATGCTTGCCGTGGACATTTTTGGCCACGAACTGGTCAACATATTTGCCACCCGCGCTAAACGCATAATTCTTCTGGCACTTTATATTTTTTGTCTGCCCAGCACTTTGAACGCCGAACTTCGTCAGGTGGCCCTGACACTTGAATATGTGAGGCTTACGCTAAGGTGTACAAAAAGAATGTGGGTGGCTATGACTTGGCTGAAGGCATTCTCGCTAAAGATATGCGCAAACAGACAAAGAATCAGGTGGACTCTTCAAATCAACATATAATGGAAGCATTTTTCAATATACGACAGGAGATCTGCATGCAACCAGTCCCTCAGTGCCAAGGATCCGTGGAGGGATCTTGAAGGCTGCATGGAATATAACCGCTTGTCGCCGACTCTATCTGATTGCATGCTGATGGTCATACACAAGACTGAGGCTAGATCAGCCTCCCTACCCACGCCATATACAAAACGGCATATAAAATCGTAGTCAACAGCTAGCGACAGATCCCAATTTCCTCTCCCAAGAGTACTCTCCTGCCCCTTTCACCACAAACACTGGTTTATCAGGCTAAGAATAGAAAGGATAGCCCCGGATAGAGGATCTGGGCCCTTCGAGTTCTCCGGGTTCTTTCATAGTTGCACACGATGGCTTTTGGACATGGACGCGAATCACCACATCGGCACTCTAAGAATATAGGCCACCCTGCTCAGCATCTAAGGGAGCAGGAGGCTTGCCAGACCATATATGTAGCTTATTATTAGATATTTATGGAGTACAAACCAGTCTAGTGAGAACTGTGCAGGAGGGCCCATATAAAAGTGTGCCCTACCTTTTGTATGCGCTGTAGAATAGAGTTGCCTTCGCAGCAACTATTATTGATTAATACTTGCCAGAAACACGCTGGTGAAATTAGCTTGCAAGAGTGCGTCACTAGCGCTTATGCGCAGTCCCGTGCGCTCTCCTTGCGAACACAGCTCGTACCCGAGATTTTGTGCGTTTAATTAATAGAACCTCCTGAAGCAGTCTGCATTCCCTCAACAACGGATCTACAGCAGATGGTCTATATCAATTAAGCGTTACAGTATGCTAAAAAAACAACGCGCTGCGTGTTTGTTCCCTTCTCCTGCAATGGCTCTGGCTGCACCTGCAAGTGTGTTGCACTCGCACCAGCCATTTGCTTCTCGGGATTGCTATAACACCAAAAACCATTATTTATGCTTATTTTATGCGTTTTTAATAGCTTGCTTGTGCTAAGCCATTCGGACGGGGAACATGCTTACAAGACTCGGTCCCGCTGGAGCCTTCCTGTGTTATGTTGTCTGCCACTCACATGTACACCTGCACATCCCAACAAGCGCTTCCACACTGAACTCTCTGCCAAGCCTAACAAATAATTCAAAAATTCTTCATGGGGGCCACACTACTTAGACAAAGATTAGCGCAACCAGCTCCTTTTCCTGTTCGCCTACTGGCGGTGGTTGAGACCCGGGAGAGGAACTCATGAAAACAACTGGCTTTATCTGCTTCAGTCTCTCTCTCTGGAGTTCACGTAGGCACAGCTATTTTCTACACAATTATTTCCTAATCACAGAAAACGCGGCTGAGAAACCCTCATACCACCCTCCGGCCTCCTCGCCCATCTACCTGTCAGCAGAGTTTTACTAGAACAAGTAACGTGAATGGTTTAGGTGAACATCGTTTGCTTTTGTGTAATTGTGCTAGAAAGGGTCGAAATTCTCACTGGCTGCGCTTCTTTATGCAGCTGTACGACACAATCGCTGGTTGCTTTTGCGTCCAACAAGCCTCAGGAGTCATCGTAGTGTGCGCTCTTCCCGAGGGTCAGTGGTGTGTCGCCAACTGTATAGACTTGCAGCACTCGAGTGACGCTGTGCGATACGGAGAAACGTAGCGAAGTATACGCGTAGGATGGCAACTGACGAAGTGCCACGTAGGTGTTCGCAGTGCAGTGTACCCTGCGGGCAGCCTATACGTTCAAAATACATGCAAAAGAGCTTATGGTGCTGTTGTCAATCATGCACTTTCTGGTCAAGAATACATGCCTTATTTGCTCTCCAAACTACATGCATCTTTGTGGAGGAGGATAAGACAGGTTGTCCGCAGCCCTTGCCCGTGCATGGATCTTACTAACATACAGGGTTCTCAGGGTCGAGCACAAAGGGCAGGCTAGTAGGTCATTCATGCAGTGCCTGCTAATGCATGCAGCCGGATTAATCGCTGCGAGGGAGTACCTCATCACCCACAGGATTCCAGAGTTGCTGGTTGTAAGTAGTGTTTTACTGTCAGCTACACGGTGCCCGGGGGTGCAAAGACCTTATTTGTTCAAATACGAAAGAGCCCTCTTACCAATAGTTGACTTTGAACCACCGCCCCCATTCTGCACAGACAATATCGAAAGGCTGAACAGCATGCGGGTGTGGTTTGCGCTTATCGGTATAACTGCACTGCAGCAGTAAGTTGCTATGGCATGCTGGAATGAAGTGCACGCCATTTCAATGCAGTATATCACGCTAGATTTCCTAATACGGCTGTCTTTCGTGAGTTTTTCCTCACCTGCGGATTTTTCAGGACCTTACGGCGGCGGCTTGCTTCCATCAGCCGCGCTATCTCAAAAAATTCTTGGTGGCTGAGCTCGAAAGGAGGCAGAAATTCGTGAGGCTTGCTCAAATCTCCTGTCATCCCTCGATCCCTTTAGAGTGCCACCAGGCAATGAATCCATTTTGTGGCAGATGCAGCTGCATGGCAACCGAAAGTGCCCCCTAATTTCTTCGCCGCGACGTGATGCCCCACATAGGCTGTTCAAACACTTTATCCAGGGAGCTTGCCCTGCCCATGCTTTTGCTGCAAAATTATTATGCAACACAATGAAGGGGTTGTGTCTTTCCACTCATACAGGGGGGTCCCACTTACTTCCAGAGATACTTTTGCGGCTTGAGGAATTGGGGTTACAGGCACAGCTGCGAGGCCCTAAGTAATAGTTTACACCTCATACACGGCGATCAAAGCAGCCTTTCTGCTGAGATCCTGCCACTTGGGTATCAATACATGAACTACGCATTAGACAGAACAGTCCCTTCTGCATCCTTCACTTCCTGGCATAGTTCTTGTTGAAGGGACGAAGATTCATGACGTAGTCTTATTCGATTTTTCATTCTGGGCCCATGGCATCAGGGCAGTGCATGTGGACACTTCGCGCCTGAAGAGTTGACAACGGTATTCGCACTATGCGACTCGGGCTGCAGAGGGATTTTGACTCGCGAGCAGTGCCGCCAAGGTGGGCTGTGTGTACGGCATGCTAGAGTGTGTACTACCCGTTTCTAACACCTCTTCGACACTGTAAAGTTGGTGAACAGAATCTGATATAATGTTGAAAGATTATGCAAGGTGGTTGAATTTGTGTTTCACGGAACTGCAGTAGTCTACGAAACCGCGACGTTTCGTCTGTCTTCAATTCCTCATTTGCTCAATACAATCGTTAGCAACGGCACAAATGGAAAGTTTTCTGCACTGTGTGTCTTGATGATTTATGCATAGTATGTCTTCATGCTGTACCCCAGGGCTGCTGCGGCTAGCACATTCCCTCAAGCAGCATGAAGACGCAGAATCTATGGTGCTGCCGGACTTGGTTCAGCGCGCGGAATTCGAAGGCATTGCGTAAGATCCTGTTTTAAACTTATGCAGCAGATACATGTTTGATCGTTCTAACATAAGGGCGCTTGACACAGTCAAGACGGTTTTCCACTAGGAAGCTACCGTGCCTCAAAAAACCCATGACTTCATCCCATCATGTCCAGCAGGAACAGATAATGCCTACACTCCTACAGGTGTGCACGTGTTTGGTTTCCATCTCAGAAGAGACTTGCTTGGACTCCACCACGCCGGCTTCACTTGATGCACCACATAAGCCCTTGGCGGGCGTGCTGATTGCCGGTGCAGAGGCCACCGGAAGAGCTGCCACTCTACCGGCATCTAACTTTGCACAGAAGAGGGACTCAAGGTGTTTCGAAAGAGTGTGTAGAGCACTTTTTGCTATGCAATTGGTATCCTTGGACAATACTACAACCCCACTGACTCTGGGCGTGGTGTGGATCCAGTAGCTCAGGAAGCAACCAAGTTGCTTCCTGAGCTACTGGATCCCTGTCCAGTGCGTGTCTGTCCCCTCGCCTTCCGTGGACTTTAAAATGCATGTTTCCCCGTTGGCGCCTTGCTAAACTGCTAAACTCAAGTCCTCGAGTTTTGGGCTTTCCTGAGGAGGTAGTCCATTGAGTGCTTGGACTACAAACGGGGCAATTTTAGGATATGCTACAAACGCATCGCTTTTCGTAGCTTTGCCGTACCGCCCAAAGAATGCAGCATGATGGGTTGATGCACGGCTTGTAGAACAGATGCAGGAAGGTTTGATGTTCTAAAATAATAGATAGGCGCTCTAATAGTGCGCCTCCAGTGGTGAGTGCCTTGCCAGTTGTAGTGATCAAAGAAACTACACCAACCCATCCTAATATTAGGGCCGCAGCGCAGTGATCGCTCACTGACGCTTTTGCCCTTCCCACTTCCTTATTTTAGCATTAAGTACTCCATTACTATAGGCCAGGACTCGTGGGCGACTTCGTTAGACCCATATGCAACTGCAGGGGGTAGACCAATGCATCAGCTGCCTAAATGCCGATCACCCGTAGTCTTGAGTATTCGCATAACAATTTCAGACAAGTCTTCATTAGCAGGATTGAGAGCTGAGATGCTGCCTAGGAGCTCTACTGATCTACCAGCTATGGTTCTACCATGGAATCCCTCACTCTAAAATCACTAGGGAGTTGGCAGAGCGCCTTTTGGTTTGCAGCACATGGTCAGCTAACCAGTTTTCCTTGACAACCGCTGCAGGCTGCGGCAGGATGAGCGTCCGGTATGAGCCACAATTAGATTATAGGTGTTTGGAATCCTTTTGTTCTATGAATCTATTTCTTTTGCCACCAACTTGGCCAGCATTGCTCGGCTGCGAGCCTCGATTGCGGCCCTTGAGGGGATGTAGTACCTGAGCATCTGATTGGAGGTATCCTGCTTTTGCTGCTCCCCTTGCAGATACTCTATTAGCTGCCGCTGGACGTCATGTACAAGCAACGGATGCAGTGTATTTTCAGCTTCATCAACACTCATTTTAAGCTGCTGCGCATGTTTCTGTTCAGACCAAGAGGCTCCGTTTACAGCATTAATTGCGGGCTGGTTTTGCTTGTCTTCTGCCAGGCTGTGACTGTCAGTCGTTTCTTGAGCGCTCTGTCTATATGTAGGATTTTTCAGTGCCTATAAATATTTGCATTGCACAGATGAGCGCGAAACTCGCGGTGCACTTCCCTACAAGAGGGCCGTGCTCCTCACTCCGGGTGATGTAAAATCAACAGGTGAGCCCACGAAAAAAATCTACCCGTTCGTGGGAATCAGGTTCGCTTCCAGTTGGCGACATCAAAGTTACACAAGAAAGTATGTTTTGGTCGTCATTAGCTGATTCTTGTGCTGCGTATCGAAGTCTGGCACCTACCTGCAACCGTGCCCGCAGGGCGCTAAGAATTGTAGGGTTCTGCTTTAAATAGCTCCGCTGCTGTTGAAGGAAAGCAATGAACCTGCATTCAGCAGTTGTACAGACGCATGCGGACAAGCAGACGCCAGCTGAAGTTTCGTGCCCCTACTGTACTGCAGGCGACACATAGAGTTTGAGAACCGCCGTGGGTTTCCTCAGAAACCCTGCGCCAAAGTGCTTCGTCGGTCTAGAGAACTCAACACTTCCGGCTGCTAGTAGTTGTTATTTGAAGAGCCTTAATTCGAAAGAAAGACACGTAATTATACGATGATACGAGGCACAAGACGCACGATGGCCCAAGTAGAGCGTTGGCCCATAATTCCTTCTCAGAGAGGTAGTCGATTAAGTCCGTCACCTGTCCTGCCCGGACCTTTCCCTCTACTTTGTTTAGGAATGCCACGGGTAGAGTTAAAAGCTGCCTTAAACCCCACAGCTGCAGGGGTTGCGGCCCTGCGCTTCCAAGCACCGGCAGCATCTAGTATCCTCTGCAGCTCTCCCCTCTGGTAGCGGTGAATTCGCACCCCGGAAATGCCAAGCTTAAGTACAACATCGAGAACGCAAATTAGCCTCACCAATGTATCTAAAGCTCATAATCCGTGTCAGCGTATCCCACGTCAGCACGCATACATGTCCTTTTGCAGAGAGCAGGTGCTTCCAGTCTCTGTGGCCGTTTGCGCTTTTGAACACAGTAGAGCCCCAGGTAAGGCGCAACGTGTCTGTACGAACCTGGTCCGTGGTGCAATTAGACACCAGGTTCGATCCATCCACGGATGCATCCTGCCAGCAGCTCCGTTCGAAGAGCTCCTACAGGCACAGCAATAGCAAGGTTACTCTGAATGCTCTTTGGCTGTCAGCTTGACCCTCATTTGCCACCTAAGAACGCAGCGTCTGTACACTTCCGCTAATGCTTTAGAATTCCCATAGGCCCTTCCGTTTCTCCCGTCGCACCACATGGTCCGCTTCGTCGAGCACAATGGGGAACTGGGTTTGCCTGCAAGAAAATGGACGGGTTCAAAGCTATATCACAGGCATCAGGCTCCCTCAAGTCCCTGTTTCTGAGACGAGGAGAAGCGCAGCGCAGGAAGCAGAAGGCGGCCTCAGGTATTCAGCGCAGATTTTGATTATTTGGAAGCAATCTTCTCACTTCGCCAAGCATCCAACACATCCGGCCAGCTTGCAATACTGCAAATCGCCTGGGACAACTCCTTGCCGGCAAAGGGGAGCACTAAATCGCGGGAGCTGCTCCATACGGTCTTCATCCCTGACACAGGAGTTGTTGCAACGCCCGCTATGGCATGCAGAGCACCGGTCCAGGCCTAGCACGTAATTTTGCACGTCTTCGACATGGGGGTAAAGTCCTACAGCAGGTTCCTACGGCGCATCAGACACCGTTTCTTGCACTCCGCCAAAACTGTGGCAAAGCTACGTGGAAGACTCAAATAATAAGGAAATGAATACGCTATGACTCAGGGATGTTTAAAATATCGATCGAATCAAGTTTACTCCAGTCACGAAGGACTGTAAGATGTGCTATGCCACCAGTGACTTACTTCAAACTTTAGGCATGTACGCTTGCTGTTTTGCAAAAACAGTGCACCCAGGTGGGCGCAGTGGCAATAAGTGGTCTCGAAAGCAGGGGTCGTGCTGGATCTGCATTAGGTGCACTATGGCAGGGCTCTTGCCCTTGCCACTTACTAGCGGGTGGAGCATCACGCTCTCCTTTGAGGGCCGCAGAGTCCTTGGATCAAGTAAGGCTCTCTCGAAGAACTCACCCCCAAGGGGAGGAAGGCTCTGTTTCATCCATAACGGATTTAGACGACGACCTATTGCAATGGCCAAGTAAAATCCAACCTGCAAAAAGAGTCCTGTGTGCCACTTCATATTTAGAATGGAGAAGCGTGTCCCCATGCGTTTTGCATTCGAGGGGGACCAGGCAACACGTGGCTTGAAATCGTTTGCTTTCGCCTTGCTGCTCAAGCGTGACAGCCCTCAGCAGCGTTGCGTCTGACGGCAGCAAATGCCACAAGACGCACCTCTTCAGCACAGTACTTTTCTTGGCGAAGGTCCGTAGCTCGTGTTGGCCTGTGGCACCGGTGGAACTCAGCCAGTGATCCTGCGGAGTAGATCGATGGGTCATTTGTCTGTAGAAGCGCTCCAGACTTAATACGCACGTGTGCTGTTACTCCATTTGTTGGCCTTACAAGAAAAATGCTTGCTTGCAAGACCTTTCGGGAATGTCACCCACAGATTCTTCCCGTACGCTGATTTTTGGCTGCCCCTAGTTGTCCCTAGCTGCCCTAAAGCAGCGGCATGCTGGGCATATGCGTGGGACTTCCGAGGGCGTGATGTCTTTGCGTCTTACGCTAAAATCGTGATGCACAATCATTCTTCCGTCGTAGACTAGCCCAGCGCCTTGAACCGCCTGCAGGAGGTCCCAATCTATATCCTGTCGATCCGCAGTCAATAAGACGCGGCATGGAAGAAACTTGCATTTCCCCATAGCCGACGACAAGCCGACCGCGCTTACAGTGTCAAATGCTGCTGCAGTGCCGGAGCTCGCAGCTGGATCAAAAGAGCGGAGCGAAGTGAGGGAGTGGCTGCGTGCCAGTCCATGCCCTGCGTACCAACTCGAGCAACAAGAAAAACCCATCAGCTTCTTTGCAACAATACGCAAGTGTGCAAGCGGCAAGAGGCTGCCTTAATACATTTCCTAGAGTCATGCGATACTTTCGAAACCCATCTGCCTCTACCAACACATGCCAGTCGGCGTTCCAAAGCATCACCCCCGCTGGGGCTCACCGTCCTCCTGAGGCTCCCACTCGTCCACTAGATATTGATATGCGGAGCACCACATTTGCTGGGTGTCTTCAGCGTTGCAAAACGGTGTCATTGGTGGCCCAGGAGAGCCAGACTGCAAATATGGAAAGTACAAAGGGCTGCGAAGTGGCAAGTCAAAGGCTGGTTTGGCCAAATGTTCGCAGGGGCAGCAGGGCTCCGGGAAAGGAGTTTTTACCACTTGCTGCTGGCGTGTTGGCTCGCCACCAGTGCTTGTGGAGTCTGATGCATTGGTGAAGAGCGCGCCCTTGAGCTTCCCTTGGCTATCTGTAACAATATCGTGGAGTAGGACGTTGGTGTGCACACGAACACCGATCTGGTGTAGCAACTGTAGCAGTTGCAAGCCCATCTGTGCCTCGGTCGAAAATTCGTCCACTTCTATCAACTCGTCCGCTGCAGAAGACAGCACGCTTGATGATTGATTCGCGATATTACCCCATCCTTGCACGGCGACTCGCCGACCGATTCATGTGGGACAGACAGCACTGTGCATCCTGGCTTTTTCTCGGCACACATGGTAGCGGGGGGAGACAAAAATCAGTGCCGCTGTAGTCAAGTACGCACTAGATGGCTTCGTTCTGAAAAAATCGCACCCCAGATACACAGAAGTACCGAAGTCTGTGGAGCCCTGCCATGTTACCCATTGCATAGGTAGCTGCGGCTATTCAGGCTTTTGAGAAATAGCATCAATAATAGTCGATACCTAGGTGGCAGCACCAGGCTGATTTTTTGGGGAGGTACGTCGCGCTTGATAAGGCCTTGTACGAGGCAAAAAGCGTCGAGAGACCTCCCATAAACCACAACGCTGGCAAGCGGATTCCATCGCAGCGGCGTAAGGAAAGGTCCTTTGGCGCAAATTGCATGCATTTTACAACTTCCCTTAATCAGCCATTTGTGTCCCCCGGAGAACTCCTCATACCTAATTGCAAACGGTTTTGTAGACAACGTCAGCCAATAACGAAGCCTGAACGGAGGAGCCTGCGCGTGAGTCACTATTGCGTGAACGCTGTCATCAGTGTGTCCAACTTGCCACTTTCTCCTAGTAACTCATGCAAATGGGGGTCTGCTGCCGAAATGCAACCGTTGACCTTCCGGAGCTCGCGCGGCACTTCGTTGTGTGTAGGACAATTGGGGACCCACTGATGTGCGTTTTCATAGCCTCCTATCCTGCTGGGTAGCTCAGCAACATGTTGTATGGAGTTGCTGCAGTCGCTGAGGCCCCAGCTGCGAATTCCAAGCTTTTGGAGGGCTGCATCATGCATCCCTCCCGTGAGGACCAGCAGGTCGTATGCGACAAATGTCTTGCCGCAGACTTCCTCTCTGTATTCAGCAGCCCCAGATTCGTCCGTAAACCCCTGCACTGCTGCAACGCTGAGCGCTCTAAGTTTGTGTTCTAACCCTTCAGGAATCCTACTTTTGTTGCTGCTTGACCGCTTCAAACATTTGGCGTTGCCCGACAAGCAGGTCAGATAAGCACGCTTCCTTTGTCTGTCTATGCGCAGAATGCTCCGCTTTATCACTCGCACGTGCAAGTCAAAGCACAGTCGCCTGAGCGTAAAAGGAACCTGCGCAGTACCAGTACTGATCTTGCTACACTCTCCTGCGCGTCGAAAAGGCTAAACATAAGCACAAAAGCAGTCTGTGGTATTGCAATGCAAAAAAAGGCATTCGGGCCAACTGGAGAGACCGCATGCATGACTTGCCTAAGGGCAAGGCCAGGATCTGGGTCGATTCCTTCTGTAGACAGCAGGGGCTTGCGGGAAGAATTACTTCTCCTGCGCAGTATTAGCATGCCTTTGCAACAGCCACACAGCTGTGGGCAGACCGGTATAGGTGTAGCTCTGTCGGCATTCATGATTGTTGAGCCAAGATGATAGCGAACCCTTCAACGTATGTAGCTGAGAATGGAAGAGAAATCTACCCGAGACTAAATAAACCTACGGTATGCCCGATGGAGAAAGCAAAGTAACATCCGTAAACCTGACGGTTGGATTTCCCCAGACCAAATGTCTGATTGCGCTTATTGCCGTTCTACAGGACCCGGCAAAAACAATTCGCGAAGTCACACGCCAGGGCCGCACTGAAAGTCTTCTTGGGGAGATCAAGAAGCGGGTTAGTTTCTGAATACAGCAGCAACCCACCATTTGCCGCTTTATTCAGCCTTTATCTTTTGCGTGCTCAGGCTTCTTCCGGAACGGCAACACACGAGTAGCCGTTTCAGCACTACGCCTTGGGGCGTTTCAAAGTGCTCCAAGTGGTTCCTTACACCTCACGAGGTGCACTGGGCAAGATAGTGCCCGAATAGGGGGTGAACAACTCCCCGTCAGTGAATCCGACTAAGAGGCAGCGCGGCTTTACTCAGCTTACGTCGAACCTAGCTTGGTCATCAATAGTGTTAGCCACTTGTGTCGTAGCTTGGTCCTTGCAGTCATCAGGCCTTTTTTTTAAAACACCGTGCTTTTGTGCATTCGATGCTTCGATGCAACTCAGGTGTTTGCTGTTTTGAACCGCGTCGACGTGTGCACACCTGCTCTGTTTCTCTGCGCTGTCGCTAAAACAGGGTGGCGAGGGTCTTAAAATGAATTGAGGCGGAGATATCAAGGGAATCGCCAGAGATATCGCAGTAGAGAGAGGTTCTTTTGCCTGGGCGGCGATATGAAGCAGATGGGCTCCACTCAACCTGCCACATTAACAGTTGTCGGCGTAGTGGGAAGAGGGAAGAAAGAACAAGGGCACAAGCAGGTGCAGCTCGCAGAGATGATGGGAAGCAAATTTGTTGAATTTATATATAAAGAAACCGTGGAGTCACTCTGATACTTCGTGCGTTGAGAGCTCTTGAGCTACTACATGCCGTTTGCATCGTTAGCAGCCCTTCTCCGACTGTGGGAGCGTTGAGCGCTGTGTTCTGCTGGTTTGTACTTTACACTTTGTGGTACTGAATACAAATACCTCCCAGTCGCCGTTTACGGTGTACATCGTTTTGTGGTAGTGTAAGAAACCAAGTGGGTTTGCATGTCCGATGGTGTACAACCTACAGCCCTCTGCTTTATCCTAGCTTTCTAACTTGTTAGGTGTGTTTCTTTGTAGCTGGATTCCTATTGGTTTCTCGGCTGTTCGTCGTCTCATGCGGAGCTCTACGCATGAAGTAGCCTGTTGCTAAGAAGTGGCACAGCTGGTCGGTAGCCTCACCGCATTACTTCTCTGATTATGACCTGCTGTAGCATTGAGAAGACGGGGTTTACCGCGAAGTGTTTTAGCAGGACATTTTCCTTAAGAGTTTCTGCCTCAATGGCGTTCAAGAAGTTTTCCTCGGGCAGGGGCGGGAGGGAGTCGTATCGGCACTGCATAATGTGCTGCTTTGCCTGCTCCGCTTGCAGCTTCGCCCTCAGTTGTCGAACTTTTCTCTGGAGCGTAGCTGTCCTGTTTAAAGTATGGGGTGCCATGATGTACGAGCGCTGAAGCGATATGACATCCTTGGCTTCAACTTCAGCCAAGCACGCAATGCCCACGACGGTCCCACCCGAGAGGCAAACTAACACTTGAGAATAAGAAAGCTCCTTCAGATTGTTTGTGCCGGTAGCCGTCTCTTCCGATCCCCTCAATGCGTCGCTTGTTGCACACAGCACTTCAGAAGAATCTGTGCTCTCAGGCAGGACGAAGAGACATAACAGTGCGCAAGGGTTCCCTCCTCTCACAGCAGCGATGCAGTAAAGAGTGGAGCCCTTAGCATACTTAGCTGCTGCTGCAGGAATGTTGCAAAAAAGTCATACTGAGTTGCTGTCCTGACATGCCATCTTCTTCCTTCACAAGACTGGCTTCGCTGCTGCTCTGGAGGCTGCCACTCATGCAGTCCTTTGACCAGACGATGCAGTTCTTGAAGTCGTCTAGTCGAATGCCAGCGGAGGCGGCAAAGCTCGCTGCTTCTTGCCACTCCTTGGGCGTTATTGGCCTGCAGGGGCCCCACAGCTTGGATATTCTTGCGGAACTATTTTTTGTCCAAAAATCGCCGAAATAAAGTGAAATCGCCGTACTGTGGTTGTGGCGTGCTGCATAGAATATACGGCTCTGCAACCTACAGATGCTCACTGAACTATGGGGGGGCAGAGTAGACTCTGCCTGTGCAAGATGTAGAGACAATGATCCAGAGTGCTGCTTGAACGCCTTGTGGCCAATTGAAAGTAGCTTAATAGCGGTGATGCCGCAGAGCTTCCCGACACGGGTGGCTGTAGAATGATCATATACTCCTTTTCTGGGAAAAGGCTGAAGGCTGGCAATAGCAAGTCCAGCGCCTGAGCATACAGCTTTGCAAGAATACGCACAAAAGAAGGCCACACAGTCGCAGTGTTATCCTTTGGCACCTCCATCTTTGTGGCAGCGCGCTGGGATTGCTTAGCAAAATGACCGTACGTGCCTGTAGTTATACAGGCGCCAACGCAAAAGTTCAGATGAGGGGTAGCATGTGCCTAACCTCCTTCTTCATAGCAAATATGTTCAGAACGAAAGCATTCTTGTGGTACTCCGGTAGCCGCTGGAAGCATTGCTGTTGTCCGTACTCCCATGCAAAGTGCCGCAGGGCTGTCGTCGACAGCTGCTTAAGAGCACTCTGCGCCCCAGACCAGTACATCGGGAGTTCAGTAAAATTTTACGTAAAATTATGTCGTTGCCGTGTGGGCATCTCGAAGTACTAAAACTAAAATCAGTGGTAAGGCATAACTGGGGTTTGTGTGCCAAAGGGAAAGATTTGCTTCTAGTTGCCAAACCTCCAACTCCTCGATCGTGACCTGAACCGTTGGGGCATCCAGTGGAAGACTTCCCCACCAGTATAACGCCAGCAGCACCCGTGTAGTCTCATCCTGTAGCAAGCATCAAGGCCAAATTGTCTGTTTAGCAAGACCCGAGCCACCGTAGTTTTCGCCTACGTCTCAGGCCAGGACTCCTCTGCCTAGGTGTTGGCTTAAGCCTTCATAGAATTCCAAGGACTCAAACCGAGTAGCTTTTTGATCAATTGATATGGAGTAATGTAAAGTCCGTTCATTATCTGTTAAACCTCGCTTGATGCCGTGGAAATTCGCATGGTATACGTGGAAGCCGTTTTTGTTCCTAACAAGAATACTCCAGGAGTTTTGAGACATGCTGCTTCTGGATGTCTCTGACCGTATCTTACCTCTGTCAATGCTGCTGTGTCCGTTTCTTGGAGTTTAGAAATGAGCATGGACACTGAGACTGTATTGCCTACGACAAACACCTTTGGATCCTAGCTCAAAGTATAAGTTGCATCGCATGCTATTTTCTACATTTTCAATAACTGCCAGTACCAATCCACACTGCTGCTGTGCACAAAAGGGGGCCTCCCAACCTGCAGGCGTTGGAAACGGCGAAAGACTCGGGTGCGGTGCCGCGGAAGAATGCGTAAGTGCCGCTCCTCCCTCGTCTATGTGTAGAACAGAGAGCCGGGGGATAAGCTCCGAATTAACGATGGAAAACCGCGACTGCATGCGCTGTGACCTCCGAACGGCAGCATGAGCTGCAGCTATTGACGCGGCGACCGCACTCCACGACGCCAGTACCTTCAGTGCATCTGCTTCTATCTACGGACAGCAGTAGCAGACGGAATGCGAGACTGCACTATTTGTTGCAAGCACAATCAAATCCAATGCTGCATGGTGGAATGCTTGTTGTTGGCATCTTTCAGTAGCAGCACTTTCGGCTCTGCAGATTTTGTTGTTGATTCCTCTCCTTTGAGGAATCTGTGTACCTGATTAGCGTCCAAATTCAGAAAAATGTCCACCGCTTTTTGCAACAGACCTGCTGACAGAGGACCGTTGCCACTGGTGCTTTCCTTCCACAGCGTAGTCTGAGTGCAACAGATTTTGGCAGCTATTCCGCAAGCAAAAGACCGTCCGGCGCTTGCACACTGCCTTGCCCTACGCTGCGCTTCCGCACAATATCTGGTGCTATCAGACATTCTGGTAGCTGCGGCTTAGTATCTGCCGTGGTACTTCTACTTAGCAACATCGTCTGTGCAGCACACGAGGGTAGTGCTTGCCTGGTTAGTAATTAGGACGAGACTTTCTCGCAATTTCGCAGGATCCATAGGTAGATGAGGCACCTGTGTTGACAATCTTAAAGCACCAGATCTCACTTTCTAGAGTCAGGCAGACCTTGTGAGCCTTACCATGAGGACTCGCACCAAAATACGATTCTCAATGGGCCGACATCCAATATGCGCCACTTTCATCCATACAAGCAGCACAGAACTGCCGCTGCAGTCTGTGGCCGCTATGGAAAGTGTGCATTTATCTTACTCTCTGAAATGCAGCCAAAAGCGCGGCTTGGGAGATCTTGCAGTCTTCAGTTTTGAGTGCGCTGATGAGAGGCATAATGCCCCCTGCAGCATGACACGGCAATGCAGTCACAATATATGCCTACTCACTACTGTTACTAAAGCTGCGCGCATGAAGTCAAAGCCGCATAGGGAAGCCACCGGTTTAGACACGGTGCCATCTCAAAACAAGGCAACAGAAGTACTTTGCAGCACAATGGAGGAATTGGTCAAAAGGATATAATGCGGAATTTCCTCTGGCTGTAGGCACTATCATGATGCTAATGCAACGCATCCTCTTTCTAGAGCAAAGCCTGCCTGTTTCGACACTGAGCCGCGCAATCCTGTACCTGGGATCGTGAGAAGGGCTGCTTGCACTCCAGTGCCCCTTGTGTTTCGCCAGTTATCTGGAGGCAGTGCAACTAGAGACACAGACTGTTATATGCGGATGCCGATAAAGGCTCCTCTGCAAGGAGCATCGGCCACATACATCCTGCTGCTCCCAGTTTTGGCATATTAAATCCTACTGCCAGGTATCAAGACCAACTTACAGTCATTAGCTTTTCCCATGGCTGTAAGACTGTGCTGCGCGAGCTGTGGATGCAGGAGTCGCGCAGCACGGTGCACAAGGGGCACTCGTGTGATCCCTGGCATATCAGCTTACGTTCTCTTGTTGAAGGACCTGCTCTACGTAATACCACCGACTGCCGTGGCTAAGGCAAGCGCCTTAACTTATAAGGGCATAGCAGTGTGTACGGCACTGTGGGAAGCGATAGTACTACTAGCATAGGCACTATCTGTGTCATCTCAAGCCCAAAGGCGCACCGCCGCAGTAGCGTCAGCAAAGGCTGGTGCATAGAGCCAGCACAAACGCGGGTATATGTATTGAGTAAATCTTACATGTGAAAACCCTTACCAAAGTGGCCTTGATTTGGTCGTGATAGCTTGGCTTTATGAAGAAATCAAAATTGGAAAGCTCGAAGCAGTTCATCAATAGGGCCAAGTCCACATCCGTCGTAAAACTCGCAAAACCCGCCGCGCGCCCATTGACTTCAGCAGAAATGCAGCGGTTGTTCTTGTCTTGAGCTGCACGAAATTAGGCCACTCTTTTGAAGGGAGCCTTATTTGCAGCAGGATACGGCAAACCGTATACGCCAACCTGCGACTCTCGGACACGAGGAATATTTCTCAGGCACTGCGTGAGGTTTATATGGCCGGTAAAAGCTAGAGGCCTTACAGCCTATCAATTCGGCTAGAAAGTATTCCCCATAGATCTTAGACTGCAGCAGGGTTTGCTTGTCGAATATTGCAACGAGATCATCGTGGTCCTCCATCTGTGCCAGCCTCGTGTGCAAGTCCGGAAGAAGCACTTGCCGTTTGCACGCCCTCACTTGCGTCTCTCTCAAATTCCCAGGATTTTCGTATCCGGCATTTTGCGACCTGTTAGTAAGAGCGCTACCCTCCGGCAACGGTGGTAACAAACCAGACAACTGCTGGGATATCACATCGTAGCCGTTCAGCATAGTTCCTTTCGTCCTGCCACGATGCCGCAATAGGAAAGCAGTCATAACATGGCAGTCAGACGAACACCTGTAGACGCTGTTATCAAATGCCCATGCAACTTGCATCCCATCGCTTTCTTCCAGCTTTGACGCGTAGTGGAGTCCTTCTTAGATGCTGGAAACTTATCAGTGGCTCAAAGCCTACCTTTCGAGTAACAGTACCCACTGTAGTTCGTACATACTCGCAAAAGTGCTCTGCAGCATAATTTTAGCTATGTTGGCTGCTTCAACTACGCCTGAATCGGGCTTCGGTCTACATGCAAAGATCAACAGCCACAGAGTGTTCGTAGGGACGATGCAGCTCCCGTCGCTCAGCCGCGTCACAGCCGATGCAGTGGCGTCGATGCCCGCTTCACCGGAATCCGAAAATGACAACGGCAAAGGGGAGGTGGCTTGGCTGCTCCCTTCCCTGGATAACTCGCTTTCGGTGTTATCAGAGTCCGAATCAAAGGTCTCTGAGGCCTGAGACCCTGGTGCTAAATGGTGCTGTATCCTGACAGCTGCCTGCCGCCTATTACAGCTAAAGCGGTCCCTCAGCCACTGAGGCCAGTTTGTAAACCACTTGTTGCACTGCGTGCCGCACAGTTCCTGTACTGCTGGGTTATCAGCCAGTGTACTCGGCAGCTCAGGTGTGGAATAGAAGGGGGTCGACACAAATGGGGAGTGCCCCAGAGCCATGAATGCAAGAGGGGTTCCTTCTTCATCTTCGCATATTTGACAGAGATATGTGCTATTTAGAAGATCTTCTACATAGGCCCTTAGCTCTTCCTCTGGAGGAACGCTTAAACCAAAGGCCTCAAAGCAGGGGACAATAGCCAGCCTGCTTCGAACAGCCTGGCTACTGCTTTGACGAAGCAGCTCGCAGACAAGCTCCGTGTCAGCAGCCGATGCCTGGCGGCAACAGAGGCACTGCCTTTGAGCTTGTTCTGGCGGAACAGGTCGGCATGGGGCACAATTGTGGTGGTCTTGTGGCATTTTGTGCTTCAGAGTAGCCACAGGCACTGGCATTTTCAGGGCAGTGAAATTTGCTTTAAAGATAATGGAGCTTTGTGTGGCTCACCCCCAACCCTCGAGTGCTATCCAGTAGAGCGCAGTACCCATCGACCCTGGAGCGGCTCAAGATGTTCCGCTTGGCTCGCTACTGCTTAGCTGTGCATTGCGAAAAGAATAAGATTCTATGTGCTCAGAGTAACCTAACCTCGACGATAATGATGCAAGTGTCGAAGCTCAAATAGCTCTCTGGGGCTTGCGGCAGCAGATCATCCCCGGAAAGTCCCAAATGCTCGAGTGTGGCTTCCTTCAATAGATTGAGCCTTTCGGAATGGATAAGGAATTCCTGATTACTTCCAAGTAATAATGCGATGCTTCATGTAGTATTCACACGTCAGGACTAACACCACACAGAATCTTCATAGCAAAAAAGTACAATTTCCATCTGTAAGTTGCTGCCCCAAGGTCACTCGCTCGCCAATGAGCGAAGTCACCAAACGGTGATAACGCTTTAAAATTTTCTCTGATTTCAAGAAAGTCAGAAGCGTATGCCGGGTAGCGTCACTTGGCTGGAAATACATTATTTGTGTCCCGGAGACCAAGTGGTAGGAAGGAATGCACTGGGACGCTTCCTGATGGCCAACACTCTGTTAACACTAGTTTCCCTTTTAAATACTTTGAATCTTTTGATTCATGCATGCATGAATGTTGCCTTCTCGTCTTTTCATTTACTGCAGGCTTTTTGCGCGAATCAACATGCTTTTTAGCTTTACAGTGAGCACTGCCCTACTATGTTTTCTGTGGACGAATGCGCTTGAGGGCGCTGCGCCCCACCAGCTATTATGTAAGAGCTGCACTAAAGCTCAGCAAACACAGACAGAAAAAGGTCTGATGTTGCCTTGTTTCGGGACCAGACATCTCTCTCTGACCATGACGCTCACTAGTTCTAGAATAGTACCGCCGTTCCCAGGAATTGTTTAGTTCTCCGGTATACTTAAACAAGAGACTTACTAGTCAATATAGGGTCCACGAACATTTTCGGCATTTGAATCTGTGACCTATTTAATCGCTTAAAGAATATTAGTGGCCTCTCGACATCCCCCGGCCAGTTCGGCGGCACTTTGCAGCACCTAGGTTTATGAAAAGATGGGGGTGCAAACCTCTTTAACCTGACACGGGTGACGCGATTCAGTATACTCGTCTAATTGCAGTGGATTAGCTCCAGTAAATGCAGTGCTCGAATGGACAGGAATGTCTCGGTCCGCCCTACAGATGGCCATATGCTTGAAAATTGGTGAGTCCCCAATTTGTGAGGACGGTAGACAGCTTATGGAAGGGCCAACTCCAGTTGTAAAGGAGCATTTAACCTGTAGAGCACAATTGTACGTACAGCTGCATAGTGAATTTTTTATCGAGTGCGAAACGAGGTTAATGCGTATTGCCCCTTTAGCAGCCTACTACCTTGCGGAAACTGCTTTTACTCGAGGTTCATAACAAATTTAGACGCCGTTATATGCTAAACCATACGTGATTGTACAATTTATCTTTGGGCTCCATGATACATGAAAATGCCCAGCTTAAGTACTCAAACGGAAATGCTGTCCGGCATTACTCGAGAATAAGTTATTGTGAGTGCCCTTTTAGTGTCTATGGCTTTAAGTACCATGCTACCCTCACTTCTAGTACGCCATGCTGGGTTGATTGAGCTATGTTCTTAAACCAAATATAGCAGGTTTACCAGAGACAAAAAGACATAAGAAGTTACGCTGGGGAACTTGGTAAATCTCAGTGTACGCAATTTTTTTGCCTAATATCATAATTCTCCTCGATGGCAGGCGTGCGCAGTGAGATCTTGATGAAATTTAGACACTTTTATTGACACTGAGAAAGGGACCAAGGCACAGCCTGCCTCAACGTTGTGACAGCCGAGGCGCCTCACCCCAGCACGGACATAACCTTTATGCAATTGCGGTTCGCTTTGCATCAGTGAACTCATGGATAGAAGCTGTAAGATTGCTTTGGTTAAATGTGTAAACTCGAAATAAAATTATAAAAGCGTGCATTTCCATCACTACCTGCTCCTGGGACGTTTAATGTCCAGCTGAGGTTAGTTCGAAATCTGCATCACTCACTCACACATGGGCTGTGCTTCGCATGCATGGCACGCAACTTAGGGATGGTACATTAATGATGTGAATAACCTGGAACGCTAAATGCATGCAGCTACTACATATCTAAAAGCCATCACTGGAAAAGCTGTGTACAAATTCCTCGAGTTGCCAAGCAGGCAGCACCGTCAAATGTACATCACCAAAGTAGGCTAAAGAATGCCTCTTGAAAAAAAATCGATTCTTAGTCCAAAACCGCAATCTGAAGCGATCAAAAATGGGTCAACGCCATCAGTAGCATAGTGACATGCAACCTGCTTCTGTTACGAAAAGGCTAGCCCTCAGTACTTTACCACCGATAAAGCACATGGAACAGGTCATGTACAGTCTCTGTACTGACCTGCTCATACTGCGAACCTGTGCAATGCTTTTCTCTGAAATACGTGTGAGACAATGCCACGTGCATTTTATCAAAATGAGCTCCTGATTGGCTTTGCATGCCATGTAGCTAGAGAATTAAAATCGAAAGGCTAGTATGACATTCGAGTGAGTGTGCAAAACCTATGCCGTACCCATCCTGACGCTTCTGGGTCAGTCCCCGACATCCACTGCACGAGCACCGGCTCAACTCCTCGCCGATCAAATCGGACTCTCGCCTCCGCCTGCTTTCTCGTGCTCACATGTGCGTAAGTGTGTCTATCGAATAGTGGGTATTGTGGAAGTCACGACAAGAGGAGGAAAAGCAAAAAAACTCCATGCCGGTGCCAAAACAACAGTGCGGCGTATCGGGTTTGCAATTCTCATAGGTAAAGAATACGTGTCGAAGTCTCCACAATGCTAATCCTTCGGCAATTGAAAGAAGCTCCGTAAATCCGTCTGATTTCTGCCAGCGTGTGCCCTAGTTCTTTTGTTCCGGCCTGTGCTGCTGTTGCTGCTAGGTCGTTTAGACGTGGCAATATTGCTGGTCATGTGAGCCGCATAGATTCTCTGCACGCGTGTGTGAGAAAGTTCTGGCCCACTGGGATATTTCGGTGTGACTACGGGCTCACACATTTTGGCACCTGCAAACTCGACTGCACAATATGCTGTGGCTGCTGCGACGCGATCCTGCCTTCCTCCCGTACTCTCTGCGCTCCTGTTAGGTCGCAGAACCTTTGTTCTGGAGGTCGGACTGCAACTGTCGCTACTGCACTCAATGCCCTCCGCAAAGGAGGTGCTGCAGCTGCCCTGAGTGCATGTTCGATGGCCCTTTCGCGACACACTAGGCTCTGTTGCCACCGGGACACCTACAACCTCTACAGCGTCCGAGGGACAGTCATCCAGTACAACTACATGAGTGGGTGCTTTCTTCGCTGCTTCTGCAGTGTCGAGCTCTCTTGTCTGTTGTTGTAGCCCTCCCAAGTCCTTGTGGGATCTGTCGTGCATAGTTTTCCTCCCATGCTGCCGCTGCTGCACGAGGGCACCCAAGGGCCCATTATTGCAGCACGGGTTCTCATTCAATACCTTGTCCGCAGGATCTTCCACTACGGCGGATTTTAGCGACCGCCACGGCTTGAGGAAAGACCCCAGGCCTCTCCATTTCCTTTGGGGCTGCGCTTTCTTGGTACACGGGTCATCCTTTAAGACGCACGGGCCCAAGAGAGACTCCTGTGCTGCCACTGCTGAGGCCGGAGCTCCCGCTGAAGTGGCGCTACTCTCTCGATCCGTGCTGCTGTCTTGCGAGTGACACAGGCCCTTCATACGCCGCGGCTGCCGCGCATGCCTTAAGACGCACCTCACTGCAATATGGTCGCTGTAGAGTGGGGACAGGTACACCAGGCCGCTATGTTCAACGTCAATCAGCATTGATTTATACAGGAGTGCTTGAAGCTCATCGGGTCCGGCAGTACGCAGGCGCAAGGGGACGGCTGCCTGGAGACCGCCCCCGTCACGCGGCGCTCCCACCCAGAGGCCCCCAGCTGTGGCACGCTGTACAGCTGCCTTTGCCGCTTTTTGGAATTCCTGATATGTTAGCAGTCTCTCGCCTGCAGCAAAGAGTAGCACGTATGTGCAGCGGATTGATTATCTTATCCTTTAGGCGCAGCACCAAGCAAGTCCCTTACTGCTTCTGCAGCGCGCACTGCCAACAAATAAAGCCCTAAGTTCTTTATACGGCAAGTGTAGTCACCAATACGCTATTATTGGCTGTAAAGATGTATTTCTGCGGATTCCCACAGTCCCATTATTTGACGCCGCCGTTCAGACAAGCAACCGAAAAGCACACTGTTGAGGGTCAGCCCGCCCTGGTGCGTTGCTGCACGGGCGATTTGTAGCGAGTTATACCTACACGGAGGAAGACCCTGAAGTGGTGGTGGTTCCGGAGGAGCCTGCAGCGGCTGCAGTGACGCCACGAGCTCCGCGTCGAGAAGCACAAAGTCTATGCGCGCCCCCTGTATCGAAAGCATGGGGAACGCTAATAAAAAGCCGTGTAACTACAGCAGAGGTAATTTGTAGTTAGGCTCAAAGAAGAAAGCCATACTGAAGTGAAAAAAGGCCAACGAAAACGTACAGCAAGGCAGGTACCTCATTCGTATAGCGTTTGTTGGTGTACTGGTCCCAAGCAGTGAAAGCTCCAACCCACAGAGGTGTCGCGCCACTAGGCCCCTTGCTGCTTCCGTTGGCTGCGGCGGCAAATGCATCAATCATTCCATCCTCTCTCATAAGGCTCTGCATGAAGTTTGCGACGCAGGAGGAGTGGCTTGGGAGCCCCAAGTGTATGTACAGCTGGTAAACTTCATCATCTGTCAAAGGGACCTGCAGTGCATTTGCAGCAGTAACAACGGAAACGAGATAAAACGCAGGCACGCGCAGAGACGATTGAGCCCGAACCGCACACGCTCCAGTGAGCAAGTAGCTGCATAGACCCAGTAAGAATGAATGGCTCCCCTCGATCGTCTCACGTTTTCGGTCAACACCCACCGTTGCCAGTATGGTCAATGCTACTTGTTACAAGCAGAGCCACTGCCCATGCCCCTCTCTACCGCCTGTCTCCATTGTCACAATCAGCCCGTAGGAACGCCTGCTGGCCTCCGTAATGCTACCAGAGTATCTGCAGCAGAAGGGCCTACAGCAGCGGGCACTTGCCATTTACCTGCACAGCGGTGAAACAGTCTGCAAGGTGCAGCAGAGAGAGCCGGTTCGCTTCCTTGCAGATCCAACTTGTGCCTCCTTCCCCGTCGGGCTGAAGCGAAGGCAACAGCACACTGTCTACATCGTGGTGCGCAGTTCCACTAAGGCATGGCCACTGCGTTGTGGGACTCACTGTTGGCAGAGTGGAAACTAGACGTCTGAAGGGGATCTGTTGACCAACGTGCGAGCCAACCCCCGCCAACAGCCCCCCTTCCCTCCCCGCCAAAGGTTGCTCGTACCGTGTACGTATAAGTGCACTCAAGATCAACCGCTTCGGTCTTTTGGCCCCCCGCAAGGGGCGCCTCGACAACAAAGCGGAATGTGGATGCCTCATCAGGTCGGTCGTTGCCCCTGCTGCAGAGACTCGCTTCCGCTGCAGTCGATCCACCAGCAACAACAGGCGTGGCAGCTCTAGCGGGGACGGGCTGCGCAGGCGTGGATGCACCTATTCGCGACTCCGGAGTTACGGGGACTCTCCAAGCATCGAGGGACAAGCGCATGCGGGCCTCATCTTCCGAGTCGCTGCGCCCACACACGGCCAAACCATAGGGCGCCATACTTACGCAAAGGCGATAGCAGGGCCCCTCATCCATACATGTATCTATATATAAAAAGCACATGCGTTCGACTGCAAAGAACCAGATCTATGGAGTATTGGTGAGTTTCCTTACAAGGGCCGTCCTATCTGCCGGGGACGAGCACCCGGAGGCTTCAGGAAAAACCGAAAAGCCCCTTGCCGCCTCCTGCCGACGTTTACTTGCGGCTGTCGAGCCTGCTGGTGGTGCTGCTCCTTCTTCGCGATCCCCCCAGGGGAATGCCTTACTTCATGGTACTGCGGATCGCGCAACAAGCGCTCGACAAGGGGCCCCCCTGCGAGCAGCTTCCTTTGCAGCGAAGGTGAGAGGGCCTCGCAGGGCTGCCAGTCGCCTGCTCCCTCCTCTGGGGAGGGTGGTGGCCAGAGGCCTCGAATATTGACCGTCGCATCGAGAAGAGAAACATCTTTGCAGCTTGTGGTTGCGTTTAGGTCCCCCATTAACACCACAGGCTTGCGCCGAAGCAGTCTGAAGCACCACAAATAGGCCAGGCACCACTTACACCCACACTGCAGCTCTCATAATGTAGGAGGCACGAGCCCAGCACCTCGGAGCACGGAGGGCTTGTCTCACCTCTGATGAAGCATCACGGCCCGAAGCCCGTGAAGAAAGTGCATTTTGAAGGCGAGCCGGTCCCAGCAGAAGCCACTTGCTGGACAGTATGTGTTAATTACCACCAACCCTGAGTGCTCTGTGACCAGGGCCCTGCCTTCCATATCCATAGCAGTATGCGGACCTCGACCAACTGCGCCTCGACGCGTGCTTGCCGCCAACGCGCCTCTGCTGATTGCCTTGCATGAGAAGCCTGGGCCCCCCAGGCTCGCAGGTATCCCGAGCATTGCTGCAGCAGCCTGAGCTGACGTGCTTGCACCACATGCTGAAGATGAAGCCCCTTCTTCGGATGCCAGTCTATCGAGCGCTGGCTCTGCTGACTGTCTAGTGGGCAGGAACTTACTAAAGGGCTGGCAGTCTGCTCTCAGTGTCAGCCCCTGCCGAACAATCGTTGCAACGCCGCTGTATCCTGCAAAGCATTAGCAGTGGAGAAACACAGTGGCGCGGATCCAGACAGCAGAAGGCACAGTTGCAGCCGCATGCACCTGGAGCAAAAGCAGCAAACACTGTCTGAAGCAGCACACGCACTAGTCAGAATCTAGCACCACACTAAAGCCCCGAGATAGGCAACATACCCATGAGGCCTCTTCGGGAACAGGAAGAGCAGCAACACCAAAAAGTTTCCCATCCGTCAAGCGTCGCGCCGACTGGCATGGGGTCGGCCCGAACTTGCTCCTCTCCTGTCTTTGCTTCCTGCGTCAGCAGCCGAGACACAGGAAGGCAGGAAAAATCAGTGCGGCTGTTTTCTTGGCTACACCGTCAGAAAACGTTTCTTGGGAGGCAGCTGTTTCAGTGACAGCAGGGAAGCCTTTGCGCTTGAGGGCTAAGGCACAGGGCTTTTGCATTACGGCTCCTCGGCAAGCTCCTGACCTGCAAGCAGAGAATTTCACAGTCAAGGCGTCTCAAGAACGCCTCGATGCTCCCCCAGTCCTTCTTTATGCCAGAGACAGCCGACCGCCACCCAGCCACATTCCAAGTGACCACTCCGAATAGCCCGTTCTTCTCCAGCTGGTGTGTGCTTTCTGCTGCTCCTACCGCTGGCACTTCTACTGGTGCTAGTGTGCTGCAAAAAGAGGATAGTTGAGCCGCCTGGTGTGACAGTGCCGCAGCTGCTGTGGTCGCGGACTGTTCTGCACGGGCAGGCGCACGCGGCGTTGCCATCCTTGTTACGTCCTTTACAGCTGTGCTGCACTGCAGATATCAGTGCGGACATCTGGGGCAGCAAGTGCTGAGTAACTGAGGCATGCATACGATGGCGCCAGTACAAACCTTCTGCTGGGCACGAAGTCGCCTGGAATTCTACTCGACTGACCACTGCAGACGACTTGCCCTGAAATGCGTAGCTGGAGGTGAGCCCAAAGCGTGCAGAAAGAACAAAGGCTATAAAGGCTACTTATTTGTTTTGAATTGTTTGCAGAAATAATCATCTTTTCGTCCTGCCGATACGGGGTTGAGCAGTACGTGCTGGTGCTCACTTCCGTCAGTAAACCTCAGAAACAATGAGGCTTAGTGGCAAGCCTACAAGCTCATCAGCGTTCCTACAACAAATCAGTAGCAAGCATATATTGTATTTCGCCGTTGGTAATATACCTCACTTTTAAACGAGCAGAGCTTTGCTTTTCCTTTCGCCTTCGGGGCTGCAGAAACCTGCAACCCCACGTGCACAGACGAAAACAACATTTTGCCATTGGCCTACAGCCTTGAAGGGATAATTTTTTATTTAAGACCAAGAAACATCCGCGCTCAAGACATCGTTCACTTTAATAAAACAGCTGCTTTACATGCCCTTCCCCTCTGCCACATGTCTCGAGCTGTAGCTGCCGTTATTGTTCGTGCTACATAACAAATCCTGCTTCTATAGAAACATTCTAACCCTCATGCGCGGAAGGGATTTTAATAGAGCGGCCTAGAGTAAAAGCCCAATGAGCAAAGGCCAAACAACAATAATGTACAACAAACGTATGATACCATGAAACGAACTGGTGCTCGATTGTTCTCATGCTGCGCAACGCACCATTTAATGTATCCCGGGGGAGGAATTTACTCTGAACTCAATACAGTGTGTTTCAGGCAGCTAATCAGTGCTTTCCAAGAGGATCTCTCTCTTCCCTGCCAACGACCCTTAGATATCCCGGCATGAGGCAAGAGGGACGGTTGAAGTGCGTGTTGCTTCACCCTCCAACCAGACATTCTTAGCTAGCTGCATATCGACTTTAGGGCGCGCACACACGCACAACATTGTGTCTTATTGAATCAAGCTTCTATGACTCTTCAATAAAAAAAACATGCGAACACGTAGATCTATTAGTCCAGTCTGTACTGTTCACTTGTAAAGGATGATTGGTACACTAGAAAGTGCTTAGGCAAAGTTTAGACCGTCGCCTATTTCGACGTCTGTTTCAAGTCGCAGACCCTCATGTTTCATATATGCATACCGAGAACAACTACTACGTCGGTGAAAGGGTTCTCACCGTCGCCACTCCTCGGGCAGAAAGAAATGCAGAAAATGTACAAATCACAAAGCTAAATGCGTGCATCGGCCGCTAAGAGAAGCGAGAAGTGGGGCATACACTAGCCAGGAACACAGCCCCCAGCACTGTCTTTGAGCCTCAGAGCAGCGTCTGCATGCAAATACAGCCGGTGCACCCCCAGTGGTCGATGCTCTTAAAAGAATTGACATGGAAGAAGATAGAGCGAGTATATTCAGGAGCTCCTGTTTATTAACATGAAGATAGTATAACCCTAAGCAATAGTTAAAGTCAACTTTTTATGCATCACTGAGATGGAATTTGCCATTACAAATATAACGCGCTCCGAGAAAGGACAATTTCCCAGGAACACCATAAATTTCGCCCATGGCAACTAGCGTTGTGAAGCGAACAGAGACATCCAAGTTTCCTGCACGCAACAAACCCCACAGATCCTGCAAGTTCAATCATTGATGCTGGTTTCCTCACCGCATTGCTCAGGCAACTCGCTTTTTACTGTATATTTGCGACTCAATGATCTTAGAGTCCAACACACCTTAGACTTCTTGTAAATACTCTGCCTTCCCCCGCACCGCTCGCATGCGTGGCATGGGAGATGAATATCTTGGAAAATTTCGAAGCTTCAATAAACCAACAGTGGTAGTTTCGGGGCCCCTCCAACTTTTAGGAACATCGCGAGAGTAACAAGGTGCATTGATTCGTAAGAAAATCGCATATAGCCCTGGCCACCTGATGTCACGCATACCACGTAGATTAGTTTCCAAGAACTGGAGACTGCTGCGCGTTTCCAATGAAGCGATGAGAAGAACATGCAGTACCTTGATATTTGAATAGCCCATAGCCTCTTGAGAGGAAATAAAACCAGCCAGAACGTCACGAACATAGGGCAGAAAATGACGCTTGCGATCGGGCAGAGTAAGTACAGAAGGGGTGGGAAGGCGCCCGATAAGCTTTCTTGCTGCAACATCAGCCTCCTGTGCCCTGGTCACAGGCTGCGAGCTCTGCATTCGACCAATTAAAGCAACGACGATCCGAGGACATCCAGGAGCAAGCGCTTGATAGCTAAATACTAGCTAGTAAAAATTTGGCAACGGACTTGCGGACTTGCACCCGTGATGTATACGCCTTAAATGGTTCATTTTGTGCAAAATCCTGCCCATTTTCTGCAGCCAAAAAACAGTATTTTAGAAACGCGTTCGCTCTTAAGGAAGAAGAATTAAATGTCTTCTCATAAAACTGCCTCTCTTTTAATAACCTCTTCTAATAACTAGAGCGCACGCAGTAGGTGCTGTAGATTTGTCTGAGCGCCTCGGCTTAACTAAGACATCGCCTATGTAGACAGCCAACCACCGCGCCTTGATGGGCTTATATAAATCCGAGTAATCCCCTCACTACACTTCACCTGGGGCCTTCGGAAGTGCCGACAGTATAAAAAATGACTCATGTGTTATGATTGAGAGTGTGATACGCCGTTTCGTGCCTGTCATCAGGGTGGATGGGGGATTGCAAGAAAGCATCTGTGGAAGTCAGATGTCAAGTACACTGTTGATTCGTGAAGCTTGTCAAATCTATTATCAACATGAGGCACCGGAAAGGTCTGCTTCACAATGAGCTCGTATGAGGCTCAAATCTAGTGCGCCACCATCTGGTTTTTTCGGTGTCACACTTGGGTCACGCCCAATAGTGCTACGCCACTTCTGCACTTTGCTATTCTAAACAGGTCATTTGCATGTTGCTCAAGCTCTATTACATGGTGTGAGGGATTCTGATGCGCCAAAACATTGATTTAGGTAGACTTGTAGATCGATATGACCCGCTGGACGACCACCAGCTCACTCTCGTGCGGGCAGCTAGCCAATATCTATCACACCGGCGTATTTTCCTTTACTCTCACCCATTCCTGATATTCCTCGGCCAACTAATTAATCAAATTTCATGATGCGCCGATCGCAAAGCCACTAGGACATATTCTATGCTAAGAGCCCTCTTTTTTAACTGCGCTGCTGAGATGCCCGCGTGGTTGTAAAATACCAAATGCTTTTTCCCCCAGCTTCTTTGCACAATAATCTTCACATCGCGCAACTGGGGCCGCATGCTCGCCGTCTAGTGGATCACCCTTACCACACCTTGGCCAACGTCATGATGCACGCATCCAGAACCCGAGTTACAAGCCATGCTGGTAAGACCCATTTTTCGAATTTAGCGGGCATAAGTCTACCACGGCCGTGCTTGTCTGTGCATGCTGCTGCCCATCACCAAAACAGGGTCTTTGGGACTCTGCTAACAAGTGAACAGGCATATTGCACTTGTGCACCATCTCCTCAGAATAGAGATCCACGTCAAAACCAATGTAGAATAATATTAGTAGTCTGAGGTCATAAATTTAAACTGCATCCGTGCAGAGTTGCCGTGTGGTGAGTCCCCAGGTGTGGCGCTATCCTCTGCGGTCCCCTTCACTGCGTCGCAGCCTCCGTGGCAGGCTCTGTTTGTTCCTACTGCGCCTGTCTTTGCTTGTTAGGCAGCCAGTTTTCACTCGACCCAGTCCCATTACTCAGATTTATTGGCTTTTGCATGCGCTTGCTGTTCCTGTTTATATGACCCAAGCTTTTAAAACAGAAACGTGTGCACTTTTAATTAACTGTCTGGGGATGCACGAGGTCGTGGTTGTCTCTGGTCTTTTCGCGTTTACCATCGACTGTAGCCTAGGGCCGGATACGACAGCCCTCACGTGAAATAAGGTTCTAGTCCCGGTGTCGTCCTTTTTTTGTGGGGGCAAAGGTGCAGGAGTTGCGTTCATTTGCTCGTGAGGCCACAAGTAGTTCAGCACATGTGGAAGCTCCCCGGGCCGGTTGTTAAGTGCCAGATTCCCTCCCCATCCTGCGACCAGCTGCTGTGATACTTCGGTCGGGTACGTCCAACATAAAACAACAATGCAATAGCTGTTCGTCTAGGCTGTAACTGCTCCAAAACTACTAATCATTTTAAAGGAATATGTAGCTATTGATAGACTCAGGCGCTTGAGCTTCCTTACTTATTCTAATGGTTGTTTATGCCTGACCAATGTACAAGGCTAAGAGGCAGAGTTTGTATGAAGCACCGTGGTATTCCGTTTAAAGCGACGGCGTCCTCTACACAGAAAGAGCCACTAATAAATTGGTTGCCTTCTGCTACACGTGCTGCAAGCCACACTGGTTCCTCTCTCTCTGGGTACGAAGTGAAAAACATCTTAAACCAGCTCATGGAACGTTCGGTTACCTTCCGATCGTTATTGCTCTTATGCCTATTTGGTCGGCATAGACTCATCGAAGCATGCATAAACACATTGACTGACAGATCATGTCTTTCTACAAGCTGTGGAGGTACTGCGTGCACATTAGATTGCAGGCCGGCCGCTGGCGCTTCGATGCGCTGTGCCACCGTTCCCTTCCATCGTCAGAGAATGGTTGTTACCAGTATGTTTTTCAAGATAAGCTGGTTATCGAATTGCCAAAGAGCAAGTCCAAAATCAAACTGCATTTCGGAGAAGCTTGATACACCGCTTTATTCACATCTCCTGGATGTGTGGGGGCTGGCTGCATCGAACCACGTGGTGCTGCCAACAAAACGTTTCACCCACGGCCTCCGTTGAGAGATGTTATACTCCATATCTAATACAAGCTCGGCAAAAAATTA